GTGGTGGCAGATATCAGAACAAGGAGCAATGGTCTCAAGTTGCAGCAAGGGAAGCTTAGGTTAAATATTAGGAAAAACTTTCTCACCAGGAGGGTAGTAAAGCACTGGAACAGCTTACCTAGAGACGTAGTGGAATCTCCATCCTTGGAAGTTTTTAAGACCCAGTTAGACAAAGCCTTGGCTGGGATGATCTAGTTGGGGCTGGTCCTGCTTTGAACAGTAGGTTGGACTAGATGACCTCCTGAGGTCCCTTCCAGCCCCTATGATTCTATGAATTATTCTAGTGACTTCTGTTCCCGGCAGTGCTACAGCCCAATTGATATTAATAGGATTGTTCCATTATAACTGAGCGGAAGAAGGGGAGGGTTTTGCTTGTTTAGGTTTCTGTTGAAGAAATATGTTTTCTCCCTTTTAAAATCTCAGCAAGTTTCTAATCCTACTATTTTGGTCTGTGATTTAGTTAGATTTCAGCAGTGCTATGGCAACAAAGTTTGGAGCCTGGGGCAAAGCCCACAGCAACAGCTCAGCCTCACCCCGTGCAAAGATTCAGGGGCACACGCCCCCCCCCCCCCCCCCCCCCCCCCAATGCTTGCCTGGGGGTACACACAGCGGCAGGAGCTGCCCTTCCCCCATCTCCACGCCCACTAAAACAAGCTGCTCATGGCTCCATCCCACACCCTGCCCCATTTGGGCAGCATCTGTTGGCACCCCTTTGCTTTGACACCTGGGGTGGTTGCCCCACTCCCCGCCCCCCTGCTGCTGGATTTCAGAAGCTCTGGATTTCAGAAGCTAGTTGGGGTCAGACTTGGTCTTGTTACTTCCAGGGAAATTAAACTGTTTTGGATGGCTCAGTGTTTTATGGTTTCCTTCTGATCTAGTACTGAACCAATGTCCTCAACATATTGCTGGAAAGTACTGCTGGATTTGGAAACGAGAATAAAAGTATTCAGGATCTCCATTTTTAATAAAAATGTCATCATAAGAGAACACATTGTTAATGCTTTTATCCTAGCCAGACTCTGATATGGATTTTTGTGTGTGGTCTATCTTGGAAAAATTTCCCTTGTGGCCTGAGTTAGATAAACTCATAAAAAAACATATAAAATTACTTTTCTGTGATGGCTGATGCATTTGAATCCCATAGATGGCTGGATTTCAGAGGTGAATGGAGTTGTTAGTATATTTCATGCATATAAAGTGCTTTGGGCTACCTCAGGGTGTTCTATAATACAAACTCTATTTAGCAGTCCCAGATCAGTAAACAAAATTCTTGCAGCACTTGCTTCATCTGTTCATGAGTTGTAATTATTTGGCTGGTGTCTTCAAAGTTTAGGTACCTTAGTGATGGTTCCTTCATAATCTGTACACAGTTCATCTGTTTCTGGGGATTTTGCGCATGTATTAAGTGGGCAGAAAAATAATTTGCATGCATAAAGGTGAAAAATTGTAATGTGCCTAAGTTAAAATGGCTATGAAGCAGAGCAGGCAGTAGTTTAGCACAAAGGGTCAATCCTGCAAGGTGCTGAGCTCCACCTCCCAGGCGGCTCATCCCTGCAGATCTGACTCCTGTCCCTTCTGATGCAATCATCAGGAAATTTAACCGCGAAAGTCTACCCGTCTGCTGAGCAAGCAGGTTTATAACTTCTCTTAGTGGGGTGGATTCTCCTAGCGGAGACACTCCTGACACAAATGTCACCTGTCTTGAAATTTAAAGTCTGCTTCAAACCCTAGGGGCACTATAGTCTGAGGCTTTTATAATATGCACGAAATGTATTTTTCCCTATCCTGGTTTTTAGAAATGGTTCAGTTGTTTCTCTCATATTATTGGAAAAAGAGATGCAACCTGGGGCAGTTACCAGGAATTTAAAATTTCAGCCTAAAGATTTAAGCTTGGCAAAGTCATAAGCAGCTGTCATTGTGGTCTTATAATGGCAAATGTTGGGAAACCTGTAGTGCTAGATAACAGCCCTGCATCTTATATGGGATTGCCTGGCTCTAAGCCTGTATCTGAAGCTGCTTTGGGGGAATAAAGGTGGTCAGGGATTAGTTCACTTTTAGCAAGAAGATAGCTTTTGAGGTGAACATCTTCACACATCTGCTCCCCATCAGTTTGTCTGTTTGTAGTACAACTTCAGAGGAATTCCAGCAGAGGTGGCTGAATATATTTCTTGAATCTGACTTCCTGGTGAGTGCTCTAGAGTTGCCTGTAATTTTTTCCCCTTTTTCAGGGGAAGATAACATAAAAAGATGTTTTTCTTTGTTGCCTTATGTCAATAAGGTAAATAAACATGCAACTCAGTATGTGTTTTATGGTACTGATTGTTTTAGTATGTAAGAGGAACACTGGGCACAAGAATAGATAGAACTTTGGATTACTTTGGCATTTGGGTTCTGTTCTGGTTCTCATCATTGCAGTGTTTGAGCATTTCTTATGTGAATAATTGGCATGTTGAGTTCTTGACTGGATTTCATGGAGTCTGGCCCTGGTTATAGGAAGTTCCACTCAGAGTAGAATGGTTTGTTTGGTATTGTTAGTGGGTGTGTGTGAAGCATGTAATGACCTACTTTTAGACATGCTGAGCACCCCTAGCTCCTCTTTACATGAGTGGTTTAGGTACCTCTTAGAAGTAGCCCACTGTTCTTTTTTAGCATCTGTTAAACAGGAAAGAAATCATGGGCCTTAAAAGGGGATTTCCATGTTTTATTTTGCTATTTGCTTGGTAAATAAAATTACAGTAATGATCATAAAACATAGTTGTACATCCTGCTGTTTATAGTTTGAAGGAAGTCCCTGTGCATACTATTCTCTGTTCATGTACAAAGCACCTGGTTTTCTGTTAGGGCACTGGAGAGGAGGGAGATGCTTGAGGAAGAATAAAGATTTTTATAGCAGGTGTGTAGGAGGAAGAAGTGGAAGGTAAGGCTGATGATTTCTCTTACAGCAAGATACTTCGCTGCAGCATTCTTTTTCTGTGATGCTTAAAAAAATTGTGCTCTTCAATATATTCTATAAGATGCATTCTCTGAGTAAAATCCTGAACCATGAAAGTTTTGTTGCTGACTTCAGTGTAGCCAGAATTTTCCTACCCTCTTTTAATAGGATAATTCCATTTTGTATACCCTAGTTCCTATTAATAGGGCCTACTTCTCCAATTTTTGCTCCCTGATTCCAGTTAGATTACTCCTGTTAGTGAAGATTATAAGATCAGGACTGTAATTTACTAAGCACTAAAAGCCAAAAGTATGTCATTCATGCTGGGACATGACTACTATTCTGTTTTACACTAGACTTGGAAGTGCCATGTGTATATTTAAAGGGCAGTCACCCAATTTAAATATGGGTATATTAAAATATAATAACCCATTGGTACAAACATACTAAAATTTGGGTTAGCTAAGAATGTAGCTATTATGTGCTTACCTTTGAGGGATGTGTCCCTTTAATTCCTTCCCTGCAATAAGCCAGCACATGAAACCGATGAAACCAAAAGGTAGCATGTTGGCAATACAGTCTATGCATCTGATGTATAAACTATTTGCTGCTCAATTTAAATAGAAGCCCACAAAAGTGTTCCATTGAGTTTCACACCTTTACTACCAACAAATATTGTACTAATAAGTTTTTGGTATGGCTAATATTGGTGGCCAGGTGGTAAATTCCAAAACAACTAAAGTTTTGAATGCCTCAAGGGAGAAAACCTGACTGAGCAGAAAATACAGTTATAATTTTTCCGGCAAAGCATCACCTGCCAAATGAACTGAGCTTTGGCTACTTGTTTGATTGATTGAATATTTATGTCAGACTTTCATGGGAAATTAACCTTAACCCAGCACCAGACTGTCAATTTGTCTTTTGCCATGATATTTAGTAACTATTTTACTTCTGTGAAAATGCAAAATCCCTCATCTGTTTCTGTACAAGGATTTGCTTTCCTGCTTAAGAGTATTGTGAAATGTTTTGCTAGAGGACTATGTTGATGACCAAAGAGGAGGTATGAGAAAGGGAAACCTACTCTGTCATAGATTTATTGTTAGCCCTATCTAGTCTGCAGCTTTATAACATCCAACATTAATGTAAACAGTGATGCAACTTTCTCAGTGTCCCAGACTTACATGAAGAAAAATACTTTTTATTATATCAATCATCTACCCTTTGACCCTTTGAATAGTTAAACTTCATTCATTTCACTAAAACATTAAAGTGTTATTTTATATGTATACATTATCTTCTCTTCCTTTATGTGTGTGTATGTATATATAGATATAAGAAGAGAAGAGAATGTCTGTCTAGCCTTTACTCTCTCTATTGGAAAAGTACTTGAAATTCCTAGCATTCTTCTCCTGTTAAAGGCATGTTTACTTTTAATCACCGGGTTATTAGGATTAACACAAGTCATTGCTTCAAGCTCATTTAGTTTGAATTTAGTGAAAACTAACTACCTCCTACAGACTCTATGAAACATTCTTTTTCCACATAACTATTAATCTGTAAGAAGCAACTATTGTAAGTAATGTGATCCCTGGCTAGTCACGTCGTCTCACTATTTCACAAAAGTGTGCACATATTATATTCTTGTGAAACACCCTATTTTACAAATTCCAGCAGAACTTGAATATTATGACAATATGATAAAATCAAATAATTGATATGAAGACTGCTTTGCTAAACACAACTAAGCTGTTCTCTTTTCTATTTTATAGAGCACAGGGCTGCAGATTGTAGAGCAAATTAGAATGTTCCCTAATCCACAAAGAAAGTTAGAATAATCATTATTTCCACAGTCATGCTGGTCTTAGTTTTCAGAGGGACTAAGAGTTTATAGAAGTTTAAGCTTTTAACAGAGTAAGTCCATATCTATTACCGTTCAAAATATTCTGCTAAGAATAGGTAAATATTTCTTTATTAAATGATTAATTCCATAAATAAATTCTTTTAATTCATTGAATATAAAATTAAAATCATTTACAACTTATTCCAGTATTATGGGGGGGGTCCAAAAAAAGCTACATTTTGATAAATAAAATATTCAGCTTTAAAACAACTGATTTCTGTTTGCTATTAAACAAAAGTTGGTACATAATAGCTGCCACAAGTGAACACTCCAAAGTGCCCACCTAAGGAAGGAATGTAACTTCCAACTTGTGTTTGGGGGGTGGGGTGGGGAGGGAAGCATAATGTTAAAACTGAACAGTATTGACAAATTTAAAGTTTTCATAACCAGAACAAAGACTTATCTGATCAGTTACAAACAGAAAACAGTATATCAATATGATAAGGTGCTCCAAAAAGAAGCAATGAAGTTGCTCCACTATTATGAAGCTTTAAATATGCTTATATCTCTGCTGCATTAGTGTCCAGTTGCACAGTGCACTCTTGTATTATCTCAAATGTTGCCCTCACATGGACAAGGCACCATTTTCCACCATTAAAAGTTCCGTTTTCCATTGCTTGTTACTTAAACTCTGTTAACATCCCACCCCAATCACAATTTAGTCCCTAAATTTGTGGATGTCGTTGAAGAGTCTGTAGTAGGGGTAAGCTTCGTTCGCATGTGGACAGTTGTAGTTGCATCTGCAAGACTGGATCATCATGATGTTCTTAGTGAAAGTTTCTCCATCATCACAGCGGAACCTGATCTTGATAGTCCTGGTCTGCTGAGGAGTACAGCATCTTCCATCCACACAAGAGCCACAGTATTTGGGACGATACTTCTTCACACTGGAGCATCCAGCGTAAGTGAACTTCACTGGGGATTGGGACTTCTTAGTCTTGGTGCATTTTTTTCCCTTCTGCAAGAAAGAGATAGCAAATAATATGGTTAGTAGAAGGTCTGTCTCCAATCTCCCACCTCTACCCAGGTCAGTTATTTGGCAAGAACGCCATCACAGGGATCTGGATTTACCTTTAAGGAGCCATAGCTTGACTGTCCACATGGCCGCACTTCACATATTCTGCTCTCCTTGACAAGTTTGCAGTCAGGATTATCATTCGTGACCCGGGTAGAGAGGCCAGTTCCACAGGTCTTTGAACACTGGGACCAGGAAGTTGTTTGAACAATGCACTTGGGACTCTCAAAGGTTTGACTGTGGGGCTCGGATCCAAAGACTAAAAAGAAAAAGAAGTGGGGAATTTGGCATGAGTTTCTCAAGTATCTTGACTCCATCCCCCTTCTACTAAACTCTTCCCTTCCAGCCCAGCCCATGACCATCAGGCACCAAGTTGCCATACTCACCAGGCAGCATTTTCAGCCCTCCTTTCACAATGGCAATTAGCTCATTGTTTCTGGTTAGTTCGCCTTCTGAAGCATCCAGACCCAGCTCTTTGCTGAAGAAGCCTTCCAGGTCCTCCAGGCCATCTTTGCTCTCATCACACATCCACTCCTCACAGCACTGGCCAGGGACTTTGACCAGCCGGGGGCTGGGGCAGCCCAGGTTGGGGAGGGAGAGCTCCTGGGGGCAGAGTGGGATGCAGCCTACAGCTCCATCGATGCACGTACACTGGTGCTTGCAGTTGGGCTGGAAGCTTTCTCCATTCTGGTAGATTTTGGAGTTATATTCACATGGCCTCCCCTCGGACTGGGCTGCAGAGGAACAAAGAGTGAGGGGAGGGGAGTTAGAGGTGAGATGCTCTTTTCAAGGCAGGCAGATTTGCTGCTCTGTTAAATTCGCTTTATGGTAACATCCCCCAGAGACTGGAGGCTAGAACAATAAGTTAGTCAGGAATCACTTTTCCTTCTGCGCTTTTAGTGGAGCCCAGACATACTGAATCACATTCCAGACTGCTGAAGTCATGTGCCTTTCTGCCAAGCTACCAACAACAAAGCATAACCATACATGGACTCCAAATTACTAAACTTCGCCACTCTGGGGACTGTTATTTTTTCAGGAAAGCCAAGCCACAAGTCTCTTACCTCTGCAGATCCCCTTCAGAGCTGTGGGACTGGCGCCGAAATTGCATTCCAACCCCTTGGTGTGATCGCAGGGCTGGCTCTTGCTGCAGTCCTCGTTGAGTTGTTTGGCGCAGACCTTGCAGCATCCGCAGCCGTCCAGGACCAGACCCACTCCCGGGGCGCACTTGGGCACTTGCAGGGGGCACTGGCAGACTGCTGGGCACGTGGAGAGCGCCTGGGGGGCCAAGCAGTGCGCGCCGGTGAGTCTCGGTCCCGACCCGCACACGCGCAGCCCCGGCGTACGAGACCCGCCCCCCACCCCCCGCACCACGGCCGGGTCGCCCCGGCACGGGCTCGCTTGGCGCAGGGGAAAAGACCCGCCGCGCTGCGAGGGGGAAAGCCCGGGCCGAGCTTGGAGGTGACGGGCGAACTCACCAGCCTGCACAGGCAGAGGAGCGCGGCGAGGCGGACGAGGCTGCGGTCCTGGCAACTCATTGCTAGCGGACGAGGGGTCCCGGGGGCGGCTCGGACACGAGGAAGGAGCCGCGGGCTGCTCCGAAGTCCTGGCGGGCTGGGAGGGCGCGGGTGGGCTGTGTGACGGCGGGCGGGCAGGGGCTGGCGGGTCCGGTCCGCTCCTCTCGGGGGTCCCGGCGCCGTCTGAGCAGGGAGAGCGCGAGCGGCTCCTTATATAGCGCGCGGCCGCCGCGTGCTGCAGCTGCACTGACGTCGCGCGTTCCAGAACGCCGGAGCATCCCGCGTTCCAGGCATCTCCGGAATGTCTCTTGGCGCTGGCCGCGGCCAAGCCCCGCCCCGTCTCGCTCGCACCTTCCCCCGGATCCGCCGCGACCCTCCCGGGGGTGCTGCGCGCTGTGCTTTAGGGACGCCGGGGCTTCGGGGCCGGGCGCTCGGGCAGGGGTTCCGGAAGGAGGCAGCACATCTGCCGGGGGGGACGAATCGGTGCCTGCTTCGGATCGCGGCCAAAAACGTTCCGAGCTAGCGCCGGGGAGCGCGGGTGCGCGCCTGCCGGGGCCGGGCGCCTGCCTGGCTGCCTGCAGCGTTTGTGAATGGGGCACGTGCACGAGCCCGGCTCCCCCGCACCTGGCGCGGCTCCACGGAAACCTCTTTTTTTTGTTATTGTTGGTTTTTTGTTTTATTTTTGGTTGCGGGGGTTCCCCCGCGTGTCTCGGTCCGCCCCGCCTCCGCCACGGGACTGCATCCCCCTCCTGGACCCGCTCCCCAGCCCCCGCCCTCGGGAGGCCAAGTCCGAGCACTTGTGTCTGTAATGCGCCGCCCGGGCGGAGAGGAAGGCGCGGCAGGGATGGCAGACGGGGCGGCAGTCGGCCTCTGCCCTTTGCCGGGATCCCGGGCAGCCTCGCAGTTTCCCTTACACGGAGCTGTTCCCGCAGCCCCGAGCGGGGCTGCGGGGAGCAGAGAACTCCGGGTGACCCGCTGGGCGGTCGCGGTCAACATCTGCCCGAGCCCGCATTAACCGGGCAGGGGAGCCCGTCCGCTTCATAGGACTGCTCCCACCCGGGGGGCGGGCGGGGAGGCTCCGCGGGCTTTTCTGCTGTGTTCCCCCCTAGTCAGTCAATCTCCGGGCCCGGTGACCGGTTGCAGTCGCAGCCCTGGAGCTCCCCGCCCCTCATTTCTCTGCATAACCAGGTGCAGCGCCGGGCTGGGAGCCCCGTGCCCGGGTGCAGGCCCACGGCGAGGCGGGAGGGGCCCGGGCCCGGCGCCCCCGCTCCGAGACGGGGGTTTCCTTCCCGAGGGTCGGGGCCGGGCGGAGAGCTGCGAGCTCCCGTTGTGGCGTCCTTTCTTTCGGGCTCGGGGCGGTGTAAATATTTCCAGATGGTGATTTCGAGCCCAGACGTAACAATATTGCCATATTTGGTAGAGCAGTAGCCCGCATTTTCCACATTTTTCTGCTGTTATCCAACCACAAAGCATTCTTGACAGCTTGGGATGGTGTTAAATATAGACCTCGCTTGTGTTCCCAGGGCAGGAAATTCTTTGGAATTCCTGTTTTTCACGCAATCCGTCTATCATGATTTAGGAGGAATTGCAGTCCGGAGCCAACTGGCTTGTGCTGCAGTTTGCTGGTTTATTAGGGGCGGGTGGGGGTGGGGAGCGAAGCCGTCGGGGCTGCTGCCCGGCACCGTTACAATAGTCCCCCATTCCGAGGATTTTTCTTTGCAAATGAGATGATTGTTCCTAACACAGGTTTGGGCTTTCTTCTCTTTTCTGCCTCCAAGGCCTGGAGGGGTGGGAAG